TAGATCAGGGCACAGTGGCATCCTGAGTGACAGGTGTTATGACAGGGGCCTCATATTTTGTACAAAGACATTAACTTACTTTCAGCTACACTGCTGAATACAAGCCTGGACTTAACCAGCCAAGTAGGCATTTGCCGGCGAGCAGAGGATAAACCATCTACCTCCCAATATTTCCTGAAATATAGATGAGGGAGACAGTATTTCTAGTGGTTTCCTTAAAGGAATAGCTACTGAATCTTTTCACTCACCACCTATATTTAAAGTATCCCAGGACGGAGATGGATTTAGCAGAGAATTGGGGACCTTTGTCATATTGTATTGCCCATGCCCACCCCTCCCCTCTTCGACCACCTCCCCAAACTACCTTGCACAGAGCACCATTATAGGAAACAAGCCTGAGAAAGTCACTTGTGTGCCCTCAATAAGGCTGTGGTGGAGAACGGTGTTCCTTATATCACACATTGTTTTCTTTACGAGGACTCCTGGGAATAATTCCTATCCGGCTTCTGTGTGAACGAGTTAGAATTTTCCCGAGAAATTGGTTTGTGTTTATCTTGTGGACACCGTGAACTGTATGTCTGACAAGTTATTCTGTTGGCGGCTGTGGTACTGGGGCCTCCAATTGTGACCCACCGGTAAGCCACAGATGTGGAGAAACGCAGTTTTAACATTATGACCAGCTCCAAGGTCTTCTTTTCCTATCTTGTGTCACCTCACTTTTAATTTATGCTATCTTGTCATGCTTTATGTCCCACTGTAAGCCACCTGAAAAACATTCTGTGACTTAAGATTTGGTTTACACTGAAAAGCAGGTATATGAGGTGTGGAAGAGCTCCGCACCATATGTTTCTATTTTCTTCAAAACTTCTATTACATTCTAACACCCTTCCACTGACAAACCCAAGATTTAGGACGTGCAACTCAGAAATGTAGCAATTATGATCATAAAATAATTGGAAAAGCTAAATAAAGGTGCTGAGAATACTGTGATTGTTCCTTTTCAGTCTCCTGACCCAACTGGGACAATACCATTGAAATGACAAAGCTTCTTGAGAGCCTGATGCACCTTAACACAAATTACAATTGAAAGAGTAAATAGCACTAAGTACTTAAGTGACACATGGAAGTTTATAAGGATTCTTGGGGTCTGCAGGCAGCCCAAGGAAACAGGAGGTTCAGGCACCACTGTTATTTTCATTCTACTGCACTAAGGAACAAGAAAGAACTGTTAGCTCCTAGAGGTGCAATTTCACCCAGGGATTTTCCAAACTGTGGGAGATAGGTTCAAATCCAAGAAGAGAAGCAATGCTATCAAATCCCATCAAAGTGTGCAGAGATGATTCCGAATGGGCTAGGGACCAACATTCACGCTAAGTCAACCTGAAGACATGATGGAGATCTTTCAATAAATGAAGGTGGAGGTAACTGGAGTTAGTTTCTTCTAAACAACATTCCTGTTTCCTTGGAGCTTGAGCTGTGCTCTCCAGTAACACTTTCTGCAATGTTGCAAATGTTCTGTCTCTGCTCGTCCAACATGGTGGCCACCAGATGCATGTGGCTACTGTGCACTTGAAATGTGACTAGTTTGACTGGACTTCTAAGTTCTGAATTTTATTTATTTTGATTAATTTAAATGTAAATAGCTGTTTTAAGTTTAACAGGGTTCTAGGATACAAGATCAATATACGAAAGTCAATTGTATTTCTATACACTAGCAGTGAAAAGTCAGAAATTGAGATCTTTTTAGACCAAAAAGGATAAGTCTGACCAAAAAAAAATGTGTAAGACCTATACACTGAAAATTGCAAGACCTTGCTGAGTGAAATCACTATAGATCTTCAATAAATGAAGAAATATACCATGTTCATACTCACAAAAGTCATTATTGCTAAGATGTCAGTTCTCTCCAAAAGTGATTTATAGATTCAATGCAATCAATCCCCATCATAATCCCAACAGGCTTTTTTTGTAGAAGTTGACAAAGTGATTCTAAAAGTCCTATGGTAATGCAAAAGACCTGGAATAGCCAGAATCACTCTGAAAATGAAACACAACTGGAGGACTAACAATACCTGGTTTCAAAACGCATTATAAGGCTTACAGTAACCAAGTCAGTGGGACAGTGGTATAGACAAAGAGATCAGTGGAACAGAAGAGCCCAGGAAGAGCCCCACACATATGTGGATGAAAGCAGTACAGCAAAGAATGTTCTTTTCAACTAATGATGCCACAACAACTGAGGTATCCAAATGCGCGCGCGCGCGCACACACACACACACACACACACACACACAAACTTTGATGCATACCTCACACCATATGCAAAATTAAACTGGATCACAGACTTAAATGTAAAAGCTACAACTATAAAATTTCTAGAAGAAAACAAAAAAAAAATCATTGTAACCTGAGGTTAGGCAAAGATCATCATTTCATAGAAATGATGCCAGAAAAGATCCAAAAAAGAAAAAAAATGATAAATTTGATTTCATGTGAACTTATTTTTTTTAATGTTTTTTAAACATTTATTCTTTTTGACAGAGACAGAGCACAAGCAGGGGAGGGAGAGACAGAGAGGAAGACACAGAATCTGAAGAAGGCTCCAGGCTCTGAGATGTCAGCACAGAGCTCAACACGGGGCTCGAATCCACGAACCATGAGATCATGACCTGAGGCCGAAGTCAGACACTCAACTGACTGAACCACCCAGGCACCCCTGATTTCATCTGAATTTAAAAACTATTCCTCCAGTGCTACTGTTAAGAGAATAGAAAGACAAGCCACACATAGAAAACATTTGCAAACCATGTATCTGGCAAAGAATTTGTATTCTGAATATAGAAAGAACTACCAAAATGCAATAATAAGCAAACAAACCAATAATAAATGAGCACAATACTTAAACGGGCACTGCAGCAAAGAAGACATACAAATGGAAGCAAATGGGCACATGAAGAGATGTTCAACATTCTTGGTCATGAGGGAAAGGAAAACTAGAATCACAGTGAAGTAACACTATACACTCATTCAAATGGCTAAAACCAAAAAGACTGATCATACCAAGTGGTGGTAAGGATATTGGTAAGCAACTATAGCTCCCATACACTGCTGATGGGAGTGAATATGACCCAGCCATTCCACTTCTACCCAAGAGAAATGGAAGCATATGCCCCTAAGTCCATTCAAGTCATGAATGTTCACAGCAACTTATTTTGAAATAACCAGTATTTGAACAACCCACATGTCATCAGCAGATGAATATATAAAGCAACTATGGTATCCTCACACAATGGAGTATTACTCCACAAAGAAAAGTTTTTAAATAAACTATATACATACACAATATCAGAGATGAATCTCAAAATAATTATGTTGAGTGAAAAAAGAGTACATACTGTGTGATTCCCTTTATAGAAAATTCTAGAACATGTAAATTAATATACACTTGACCCTTCAACAATGTGGGTTAGTAGCATTGAACACCTACACATACAAAAATCCATGTATAACTTTTGTCTCCCCCAAAACTAAACTTCTAATAGCCTACGTTGACCAGAAACTTCACTGATAAAATAGCCAATAAACACATGTTCTGTATGCTATATTATAGACTGCATTCCTACAATAAAGGAAACTAGAGAAAAGAAAATCATAAGGAGGTGAAAATACATTTACAATACTATACTGTATTTATCGGAAAAAAATCCATGTATAATTGAACCCACCCAGTTCAAACCCATATAGTTTCAGAATCAACTGTTTAGTGACAGAACGTGGATCAGTGATTGCCTGGAGGCAAATAAGAGTGAAGAAGGCAGAAAGCAGGGATTACAAATGGGAACGAGGAAACTTTGAGCATGATGGCCATGTCTAGTACCTTGACTGTGATCAAAGTTTCACATATATACACACATGTGAAAATGTATTAAACTACACACTTCAAATTCTGCATCTCCATTATACCTCAATGAATCTGTTTAAAATAAAAAATAAAACAGGGGCACCGGGGTGGCTCAGTAGGTTGAGCATCCTACTTCAGCTCAGGTAATGATCCCATGGTTTGTGAGCTCGAGCCCTGTGTGGGGCTCTGCACTGATAGCATGGAGCCTGCTTCGAATCCTCTGCCCCTGTCTCTCTGTCCTTCCCCTGCTGGCACGTGATCTCTCAAAAATAAACATTTAAAAATAAATAAATATAAAATAAAAAACAAAACCAAAATATGTTCAACAGCCGCATGTGCCTGGTGGCTACTCACTGAACAGCAGTTTGACTCTCTGTGCTGCCTTAGCCCTTGGTATTTCTACACCAGCATCCGTGGGAGTATCTCTGATGCTGTAACAATCTGTGTCTAATTCTAGGTCCCATCCTTTCCCCTACCTCCACTAAAAGAGATTCTCTTTTATCTTGCTTTGAAAGTAAGGCTAACGAGCAGACTTACGAGTGGGACAGATTCAAACTCAGAACAAATTTCCAGCAGACGTTCCTGATGGACTCATTCAGCCAAAGAAGAGATGGCTTTGCTCATTTAGTGAAATATTCTGGTAAAGGGTGATTTTATAAGACTTCACCAGAAGGCTGTGGAGGAACAAATAGGAATCTGGTGGACCACTAAGTAGCAGCTAGGTTCCCTCCACCCAAGATTTTAGGATTCCACATAACCAGAATCTAAAGTACTGAGTTTGTCTTAGCCCTGTGTCTCTGGGCTTAATGGACAAAGTCTGTTAGAGGCCAGCTTAGAAAGGTCATAGTTGCAAATTCTAGTTCTGTCACTTTTATGTTTGTGGTATTGCCTTCTTCTGTAAAATGGGTATCCTGGTGCCCACAAAACAGAATTAGAGTTAAGATCTAACAAGATCATGGATGCAGAGTATCATCTAAGGAGCAAAGGTAAATAAAAAATATCCCCTCCTCTCACCCACCAAGCCCTTCATCACAGCACACACTTTCTTCCCTTACCAAGGGATGGGCACGTGTACACAGGGGGCCACTCCCATTCTTACCTGGAGCCAAAGTTTGTCATGCTGAGACCACTTCCCACCAGCGATGCACTGAAACGTGGCATTCTGCCCCACATTCACCTCGACATTCTGGAGCCGCAGAAAGTGAGGTGCTTTTCCTAGGAGAGAAACCAAACAGCATGAGGACTCAATTCAACAGCCTGTGCCACTTCCCCATCCGTGGATGGCCATGCAAGATGAGTGATCAGCAGGGTGGAACCTGCACCTAGAAAGTGGCCTAGTGCAATAAGGAGATACTGCTGTTTGATCACTTACTATGAGTCAGCTACTGTTTGTTCTAAGAGTTTTACAGGATCACCTCGCTTAAACCTCACCAATACCCTCAGATGAGTAGTATCTCATTTCACAGATCAGAAAATTAAGGCTCTGAGGGGTTATAGTTTGGCACAGAGAGCCAGAAAGTGAGGGAGCTAAGACATGAATCCAGGTCTCTGAGAGCTTCAAAATCCTTAATATTAGCTTCTGGGCAATACGGGCATGTTTGGAAGAAGAAAATGGAGGTGGGCACATGGAGAGGATTCAGCATAGATAATTCCTCCCTGTAGCCTGAGTGAGCAAAATGAAGAAAGCTTAAGCAAAGCACTTTGAGCCTGAGACCCAGGTGCCTGGCCTTGGTGATGGCATTGATGATGCACATCACAGGGAGGGCAGAGCAAAGGAGGGACACAGGTGGAGGAGAAAAACAGTAGTCATCATTCACGACTGCTAAGCAGTCGGTGCTGTGTGCCATGTGCACACATAGTAACTCACTGAACTGAAAGCAGTTGGTGGTGGATCATCTTCGTCTTATAGTGAGTGAACTCAGGCACCAAGAACTCAAGAAACAAGCAGAGTCTACACTCTTAACTCTGAGCTAGAGTGTCTCCTAAGGATGGGAGGGAGGTGGGTCATTTACTCTGGGGACTCGGCATAACAGGAAAAGGGACTTTCAAATGAAACTCACAGGGTCTGTGAGCAATCAATTCCAGAATTAAGCAGTTTTATGTTGGGCTAATGGATTCATCTCTTTCCTTGTTTGAGGAGTCAGGTTCTTGCCTATTTGAACTCTCCAAAGATGAGTGGGCTGATAACCAATGTCTAGAAGTATAATTTCGTCACTGAGGCACAAAGGTGCCAAGGATCCCATTGGGGGGCCTGGGTGGCTCCGCTGGTCAAGCATCCAACTCTTGGTTTTGGCTCAGGTCGTGATCTCACGGTTCATGGGATTGAGCCCCACGTTGGGCTCTGTGCTGCATGGAGCCTGCTTGGGATTCTCTCTCTCCCTCTCCGCTCCCCCTCCTCTCTCTCCCTCTCCGCTCCCCCTCCTCTCTCTCCCTCTCCGCTCCCCCTCCTCTCTCTCCCTCTCCGCTCCCCCTCCTCTCTCTCCCTCTCCGCTCCCCCTCCTCTCTCTCCCTCTCCGCTCCCCCTCCTCTCTCTCCCTCAAAACAAACTTTTTTAAAAAAGTGCCAAGGACCCCCTAACACATCAACCAAATCAGTGATAAACTGGACATCAACTACCCCACAATGGGACCAAATGAACAGTTGTTAAGAGGATCAAGAAGGTTCAACAAGGGCCTTTGGCCATCTTTTCAGAGAGAGTCAAACACCCAGAGAGACAAATAATAACAATCATGTCACTTATCTAAAGCTCCTATAATGGCAGGCACTGTGATAAATGCTTTACGTGTTTCATCTAATTTAACTTTGTAACATTCCTATAAAGTACACATTATTATTTCCCTCTCAGAGGCAGAAATCAAAGCCCAACAAGTTTAATTTGCCCAAAGCTACGTAGCGTTAATAAGAGACAGAAACAGAATTAAGTCCAAATTTTGGCCCCAAAGTCAACATTTAACTAGCGTGATGTCCAGCTTCCTGGGCAATGAGAAGTCCACAGTGTCACCCGGACCCCAGAGACCAGAGGCAGGGCTTGCAGGCCAGGCCGTGCTGACTCTCTAGGTTCCTCTCATTGCTCCCGAATATCTTATCACAAGTGATCCCCACCCCCCTTCCTTGCCATTTGTCCCCACAGCCTTCATGCTACACACTACCTGCTCCACCAGCCTGTGTCACCAGGTATAGAGCTCAGCAAAACCCAAACCCCTCGGCATGAAGAGGCAGACTTGCTGTGTGAAAACACACACCTTCTGCTCGGGCTTCTAAACAAATGACAACAGCTCAGAGACCCCCTCGGGCCACCCTCAGGACCCCACTGCTAAAGTGGTGTCAAAAATTGAAGGCCCAGGAAGACCTGTCTTTGTGGGCTTCTCAGAATTGAAGATTCCTGCATCTAGTCAACCTGACAAATGTCATGCTGCTTTGATTGTCTGAAATTGTTTCCTTTTTGCTTTCCTGTATAATTTTGTCAAGTTATTTTTGGAACTATCAGTTCAAGTCGATTCTTCAAGTGGGACTGAGAGTAAACCTGGTAAGCCCATTTATGCCACAGGTTTAAAGGGAAAGGAACATCCACTCTGCGCAGGGAGGGAGAAGAGCCTTAACTCCAATGTTGGGAGGCTCTGTGCTGGGTTTTACAAAGGGATGTCTCTCCATGCCCTTGGGGACATTGGGCAAATGGTTTAACATCTGGGACTTCTGCAATCAGAAATGCATCTTCTCTGGATCAATGTCCCCTACTTGCTTCTGACTCCCAGCTTCTCGGCAGAAAACCTTTTGTCTGGATTTCTTCGTCTTCAATCCCTCTTCCCGCTTCCCTTCTAGGTTTAATGGTAGAGAGTTCAGAGGCTTAATAGCCCCTAGTGTTAATATTCTGGTTAAACACTGATGGTTTATGGCAGATGTTGAACCCACACACCTACAGGAGCCACTTACATAAATGAATGAAGTAGCTCAGTCATAAAACCAAACAAAAACAAAACACCACCTCCTTGCCCCATCATTCACTTCCCCACTTTTGACAGAGACTTGAGTAAAGATTTCTCTCTACGTAAGAACAACAACGTTACACACACAATAATAATGGGTATCTGACACCAGCCTCAGCACTAAGGAGGCAATAAGGAGTGGAGGGGACTAAGGAAAATGGATAAAGCTCCACGACCCCTTAAAAGGAGGCAGCTGTTACTTAAATCCAGCAGATGAAGGCCATTCCAGAGTACTTGGCTGACAGCAGCCAAGTGTCCAGTTTGTCAACCCAAGTAAGAAATCCAGGTTTTCTGTGACATCTCTCATTCTAAAATCTTGACTGAATTTGGGGGGCACCTGGGTGGCTCAGTCAGTTAAGCATCCTACCCTTGATTTCAGCTCAGGTCATGATCTCACAGTTGTGAGATCAATCCCCATGGCAAGGCACCCCACACTCAGCATGGAGCCTGCTTGAGATATATTCTCTCTCTCTCTCTCTCTCTCTCTC